GCTCACCCACTGAGCTAACTGGCCATTCCTATATAGATCAAAACATATGAGGGGAAGAAGAGAATAGAGCTTACCTTGTTATAGGGTTTGTGTTACACCTAAAGTTGAGTTATAGGGTTTGCTCCAGAGCATACCAGAATGTTCTCAGAAGGAGCTCACTTCCAGCCTGCTCAGCCCTCTAAGAGAATCTGCACACCAACAGGGGATCCCTGAAAGCAGGGAGGGGGAGATGCAAAGAGGAAAAGATGCAGAGCCAGCAGTGGTCCTATCCAGTTGTAATCTCATGGCTCTTTTGGCCCTCTCCTTTACTTCTCTGGCCCTTCTCTTTTTTTTGGCTTGGCATTCTGGGCCTTAATAATCTTTATATCCTTGTAAGTCTCAAACCTGTATGTTCCATTTAAACCCTTTTTTAAGCTTCAATGTTATATTTCCAACTTTCTGTTGGGCACTTGATTTTGGATGACCCCATCTCCTCAATCTCATTGTGTCCCAAACCACAATTGGTTTCTTCCCCAACTTCTGTATTTCAAAGAATCCCAAGAGGATGTTTGCTATTAAACGGATCCACTTAGGGGCTGGCCCGTGGCTCACTCGGGAGAGTGCGGTGCTGATAACACCAAGGCCACAGGTTCGGATCCCATATAGGGATGGCCGGTTAGCTCACTGGGTGAGCGTGGTGCTGACAATACCAAGTCAAGGGTTAAGATCCCCTTACTGGTCATCTTTTAAAATAAATAAATAAATAAATAAAAGGATCCACTTAGAAATCTAGTGCAACCCTCCTTGTTTTGTTAAAATGAAACTACCCAGCTAGCAAATCAGATCAGATTCCTCCCCTCTCCCCAGATTTGATACAACCTTTCCAACTGCTCTTCCCTTAGCCCAAAACACCTTCCTTCTCTTCACGTAGCCAAATACTACCTGTGCTTTTAGTCCCAGTTAAAGTCACAATCTCCAGCAAGAACTTTCTTGATGACTCCAAAGTGCTCTCTTCCCCTTCTGAGGCTTGTAGCCCTTGACTGAGACACATATTACCTTATTTTGTGATCATATTTGCACGTAACAACTTGTTTGATCTTTACAACAGTCCTATGATGTAGGTATCATTATTATCTCCATTTTACAGAAGAAGGAGACTTTTAGGACTCAGAGAAGTTGAGTTATTTGCCCAACATCACACAGGTAGTAACCCCAAGTCCTTGTTCTTAACCAATATACTATACCATTTATACCACCTTCTGTGAGTACTTTGTATCTTCAAAGAATCTGGGCTCCAACCCCTTATATTAATGTTTTTCTGAGTGTGGCCTCAGGATTCCACCTCTCTGTTTGCTTGTTAGCAATGCAGATTCTTGGCCCAGACCTACTGCATCAGGGTCTTGGGGGTGGGTAGATTCTTAAGACACACTCGGGTTTGAGAATCACTGCTTTAACAAGATAGGTATTAGAGTATTTAATGACTCCAGATCCATTTGAAGGCACCACAGTGGCCAGTGAGGAAAAATGGGGGTCTGTATGTGCACCAGTTTTACAGACGCACAGCCCCTGCCAGCCATGGCCCATGGATGATGTGGACCAGTCAGAGGCTTGGATCTTTGCCCACCCTTCCTCCTCTGCTTATCCCAACCTCCCCAAATCCTGGCTACTCCTTCCCTGATGATTTACCATCTCTTGAGGCATCGATATGTACATTCCAGGTTACTTTAAGTACTCCTGCTGGGAAGATTTCTTATTTTGCCAATTCCCTCTGTCCATCATCTTTCAAATATGACTAATCTGTATTCTAGGTGTGGTTTTTTTTTGTTTGTTTGTTTGTTTTTAAAAGATGACCGGGGGGGCCGGCCCGGTGGCGCACTGCTACAGTGCGCCGCTTGGGAGCGCGGCTGCGCTCCCGCTGAGGGTTCGGATCCCACATACAGACCAGCCATTCACTGGCTGAGCGAGGTGCGGGCGCAACACCGAGGGTTGCAATCCCATTGCCGGTCACGAAAAAAGACAAAAAGGGAAAAAAAAAAGATGACCGGTAACGGGATCTTAACCCTTGGCTTGGTGTAGTCAGCACCACGCTCACCCACTGAGCTAACTGGCCATTCCTATATAGGGATCCGAACCCGTGGCCTTGGTGTTATCAGCACCGCACTCTCCCGAGTGAGCCACGGGCCGGCCCTAGGTGTGGTTTGTTAACATGGTTTAAATAACACGGATCACTTGCTGAGCACTTGCTATTGCTCACAACAACCCAATGAAGCAGGTGCTACAATATATACCTATTTTACGGATGAGGAAATTGGGTCTGGGAGAGGTTAATAATTTGCCCAAGTTGAGGCAGCTAGAAAATGCAGAGCCAAGATTTGGAACTGAGATCCGTTGGGTGTGGGTGACCACTTATCCATACTGCTTCTCACAAGTTTAAAGGCAATCCAGTATTCACTGGGCACCTACCAGACCCCTGGCACTGAGCCCAATCGTTTAATAACACACCTGATTAGAGACTTTGAGGACATATTTACATTTCCAGTTGATCCCTTTGGCGGGAGCAGCTCTAAATAAATTGACATTAACAAAAGCTGCCCACTGGGTTTTCAGTAGAAATGCCCTCTACACCAACAGGAACTTTAGCTGATACATTTAGACACCTCCCCTTTCTTCCTTCTCTCACGCAGTCATCAATTACTTCCCAACTGGTTATTTTAGGAAGGAACCTCTCTCTCAGTTCCTCCTATCACCTTACAGATCAACAAAGTCATCCCCACCCCCCATTCCCCTTCTAAAGTGAATATTCTGGAATGTCCTGGCCTCAGGAGCACTTTAGACAAATTTAGCACATCTAAGATAGTTCAATCTGTCTTAGTTCCCCAAAATAACTGCCAACAGGGGCAAGAGTTATGCACACCCTTTAGCCGTTTATTGTCAAATGGGGAGGATGACCTCTCTTTTCTACACCAAGTGTAGGTTCTCAGCCACCCTTTGTCTGCGTCCCTGAGTTCGGCGTGTAATCCCTTAGGTGTACTATTCAGAGGCAAACCTAATTTGTTCTCTGATATCCAGGAATAAACTCCTGGCTATTTTCAGACAAAGATAGTGGTAGGTGTCTGTAGAAAGGAGCTAGGAAGGAGCTTAAAATACTTTGCATTCCAGAAACACCCTCCCTTCCCCCAGGAAGTGGCTTTATTCCCACTCCTTTCTCAGCAGAGCTGACTCAAAGGAGCTGAAGCTTAGAGTCAGGCAGCAGGTACTAGCTGTGGGGACTTAATGACTTAGATGTCTCTGAGCTTCAGTTTGCTTATCTGTGAAATGGGACTGACACCCCTTGCTCTCCAGATTATTGTGAAAAGTAAGATATGCAAAACAACTAGGACTAGTTGTACATGCCTGTACCCATGGGTCCTTACCATTTTATTGAGTGCCCTCAAATTCTTTCAAGGTCCACTAAAAGGAGGGAAATCCTACAGATAAGTCTTTAGACAAATGGCCTCAAAAAAATGAGGATGAATACACTGGGAGTTTTAAAAAAAGAGCTCCAGTAATCTAAGTCTGTTTTAGCAGACAGCTACTTTGGTTCTGGACATGTGACCTAGAGACAGTGGGGGTTAAGTGGAAAGTTTACCTGGGCTTGGGATCCTGATTTTTCTATGTGACTTTGAGCAAGAAAGCTCTCTGGATTCCAGTACCATATGGCGGATATTGCTTCCTTACCAGGTTATGGTGAGTGTCACTTTGTAAATGTAAGGAATTAACAGTAGCTACCTGAGCATGGTGCTGATAAAACCAAAGTCCAGGGTTTGAGCCCTATACCGACTAGCTGCCACATAAAAAGAAAAGAAAAGAAAAAAAGTGCAGCCTTTTGACCCCATTCAGGCTCCATAGAAGTGCAGGCAATACCAACCCAGGTCCCAGCTGTAAGGCAGGATTAGTGGAGGTAAAGCAGCCTTCTCCCACCATGATGCCCATGGCCTTTCTGAACAGCAACTGTTTTCTTTTCACAGTCTCAGAGGTGGGCTCTTTGGAACAAGACTATCTCACCCAGCACACAGATGCTTCAGAGTGACTGATTGGTCAAGTAACATTTGCCCTATTTCATCCCAATAAGTGGCAGGTGCACTAGCTCCCAGGAGAGACAGTTCCAAAGAGCAGTTAAATGATGGAATTCCATGTTTACCCCCTCCATGGACCCCATGCTAATAAAACAAGCTGATCATTATAATGTGGTGCTCAAGGCCCCTGGCTCTGGAGATAGGCAGAGCTGGTTTCAAATCCCAACTCATTTACTGGTTAGCTGTATGTTCTTGGGTAGTTTTGTTTACTCTTACAACCTTAGTTTCCTTATCTGTAGCCCAGGCACATGGTTGGTGTAGTATAATATGAAGGAGCAAGCAGAGTGCTTAGACATAGGCAGTTCTCTATCAGGAACAGCTACTATTAAACTTTCCCCTCTTGCATTTACAGCAAGCTTATGAGAACTATTTCATTAATTTAGGGAGAAAAAAAAAAAAGGCCTTTTTGTAAGAAAAAAATCACTTTACATCACCAATGCTCAGATAAATTTTTAAAAAGACATCCTGCAAAAAATCATCATACCGCTAAGATATGAACAGTATCATCCTAAAGAATATAAGGCTTTACAGTTTAGAAAGCAGTTAAAGTCTACTACTTCATTTAATACTTGCAAAGACCCTGTGAAGTAGCATTTATCCCTATTTTACAGAAAAGGAAACCAGGACTTAGAAAGGTAAAGCTAAAAGAAGTGGTGGAGCCAGGATTTCAAGCTTTCTAAAGTACAAATTCAGCACTCTTTACAATTCACAAGAGAATTTCGTGTTCACTGAGTACTGAGCCTACATTGTTTAGACATGTCTGAAATGGCATTTCAGGAACCCAGAGTGGAATGACCTGGTTAGCAACATGGTTAGAGAAATGCAGCCCTCTGGATCACTGGTGGCTATCCCAAAATAGTTTTCCTTGGTTCAGGAGGACTCAGATGGCACAAGTTGCCCCCACTCTTGACATGTTTGAGATATCTTTTATTAGAAGATGTCCCAGAAGGCAACATTTTAAAATCGGACAATCAATAATCACAACTAAATACAAAATTTCAGGTAAACTTGCCTTTCAAAATAAATCAGATCCTTGCAACAGGAGAATTGCCCAAGAGTTTTTTTTCTTATACAAAAACAGTTAACACCACTCTGCAAAAGGCATACAAAAATACAGTATTAAAAAAAAAAAAAAAAAAGACTCCCCCCAGCATAATACCCAACAGCAGCTTATAAAACACAAGCTTTTCAGCTTTTCAGGTGAGGCATCAGTAAACTACATCCCACCTGTCCTCCAAAGACAGTTCCAGAAGTCAGTTGGCTCCTGAAAATCATGTTCCAGAAAGTAGAAAAGCTATTTCCAAACTTCCACTGGGATTCTCTGAGGCCAGGAAGCAACCTTAGAAAGAAACTATTATGGACAATAGATTTGGAAGTAGCAGCTGGTTTTCCAAAGCCACATATAGTGCTTACCATTGCCCCTTCCCCACTTCCAAACCCAGAGCTGTCCAGGCAGAGTTCTGGAGGGGCTGATCCTTCTTCCAGGCCAGGCTTAGGTTGACCATATGATGCCTGCAGGGTTGGGTGACTTTCTTGGATTGGAGGCTGCCCCTGGATTCCACTTGGAGCTGCAGAGTCCAGCTGGGGCAAAATTTATCATGGTTGGCTAAGCAGAGCTTCTAGAGGCTCCTTTAAAACCCACCAGGAAGCAAGTCCACCTTCTGGAGCACTGGATGAGTCCCAATGGCTCTCCCCAGAACTTCAGTAAGGCCCAGATTCTGGAAAAGGGATCTAATTCATGGCAGGTTGGTGGGGGCTGAAGGGTGGCTGCAGAGCCAGCAATCTCCTTTGAGTTGCAGGAGGACAGGTTTGCACGGTTCCAGTAGAATTTCAAACTTATCAGTCAAGGATTGAGATGACAGGCAGGTGGGAAAGAGGAAGTGATATATTTCTCCCTCCTGAGGTGCCTTATACCTGCCTTGGGAAAAGATTCCAAGATGGCCTCAAGTACCCCTTGGAAAACACCTGGGCAGGGAACAAGTTCACTGCCAGGACTCCTAGCCTTCCCTAGGCCCCAGGCTAAGATCCATTTCCCTGTGTCTGCGAGAAAGGGTGGTGTAGAGCCTATTGCATAACAAAGGCAGAATGAAACAAAAAAAAAGTCCCTTATGAGGACAGAAATGTCCCTCCCTCAGAAAAGAGGCCCAAAGGGCTCTGTGACAAGGAATCTAGAGGCCAAGCTCTTTAAACATTCTCAAGGTCACAGCATTGAGCGTGGAAGGAGGGGTATCCTCTAACATCACTATATATATATATATTAAAGGTTTCCAACTCCTCAGCTATTGTAAAGTGTCTGACAGTGAGGTAAGGGTCTATGTTGATCAAGTCCGTGAGCTTGTCTTCACCCGAAACAGCTCATGTGTCTCCTGGAAAAAGGAGCCTCAGGGAGAGCATCCAGGCTCAGCTGTCCTTGAATCACCCCCAGGGACACCCAGGCAGAGCATCCCTTTCTACCCAAAAGCTCACGCAAAGTGTGAGATTTCAGGCAGGCCGGAGCCCCCTGACAACGTCCACCACCTGTTGCATAGCATCTGTCAGCCTTTTCTTCGGAGCTAGTGAGCTAGGCGACTCCAAGCTCCTCAGTCAGCTGCCTGCTGGGAAGCCAAAGGCGCCATGAGTCAGGGAAGAGGGAGAGCTGGGTTTCAAGGTTTCCAAGAATGCAAGCCCTTACTGTGTGTACACTGGCTGCAATGCATTCTGGGATCTACTGTCCAGACTGTCCCACCGTAACCAAAATGTGCAAATTACTAAAGGAGAGAGGGAGGTTAAAAAATAAACTTGTGTCTTTGTAAGACAGAACAGTCAGGCTTTTTGGTCAGTTAGTAGCCACTGAGGTACGCAATTCTTTTCTGCAGTTGCTGTTGCCGGCATCGGAGCTGCCTTTTCTCTGTAGCCATCCTCTTCTCGGCCCCCACCAGGGCTTGCAAGTATTCCAAGGCCTTGCTTAGGATCACAACTTTGGGGGCCTTAGAGCAGCTGGCTAGGGTGGGTACCTGGTCCCTCAGTGCCAAGAACCGTGAACGGAGGTCATTCCGCCTTTTGCGTTCCAGGAAGTTGTGGTTCTTCCTCTTGGTCACATCCTCAGTATCAGAACTGACAGGTTTAGAGTGGCAGGACTGGGGAGCCTCATTTTCTATAGGCAGGGGACTCACTATCTCTTCATCCTCATCATCTTCCTTTTCCTCTGAAGCATCTCTCTCCAGAGCCTCTTCTTGGGGACCCCTCTCTGGAGCCCCTTCTTGTGAGCAGCTTTCTGGAGGAAAACGGGCAGCGTAGTTGTGCTGTTGCTGATGGATGGAGATGTGGAAGTGTTTCATGCAAGGGTCCAGAGGGTCTGCTCGCACTGTGATGGTGACCGGCTTCCGTATACCCAGAGACTGTCTCTTCTCTACTGTCACAACATCGATTTCTTCACCCTCTGTCCAAGAAAAGAGATCAAGGGAAGAAACACATCTCATGAGAAACACATACATAGACTCTACAGCTTTAGCTGTCCGTGCTGGGGCTTGGGAAGGTAGGTGACATTTTCCCAGTTTAGATATAAACAAACTGAAGTGAGGAGAAAGACAGCTGATTCACTTGTAATGGGGTAAGGGCAGAGTGAAGGAAAGGAGGGGAATTAAGCAAGAAGGAAAATATTCTCCAATTTCCTTTTGCACAGCAAGGCTTAGATAAGAACAAAAGGCAGACCCAAGCCAACAGCCCCCCCGTCTGTAAAGGCTCTCCCCTCCCCCACTGAGGGGATGGGGAGAAAGAGCTACTAGCATGGGACAAAGTTTAGCTATAAAGATCTTCCCCAGTCGGGCTCTTTCATGCCCCATCAGAATTGTAAATGAGGGATCTGTGGGCAGAGCTGCCCTTTGTTCCTGCCCAGCACAGCCTGCACTTGGGGAATTGTTACTTTTCACAAGTTATAAATCCTATTATTCCCCCACCTCTCTATTCTGCCATCCCTTTCAGCCGAAGATTTTAAAAAGGGAGGGCTACAACCCATCCCTCCTCACCCACAGAAGGGAGGGAAAGGGTTTCCCTTAGGAGCATTTTGCTCCTGAGTTCAACGGGTTTCTAAAGTCATCCATCATCTATAGGTCTCCCGCCCCACCCGTTTCTCTGGACCAGAAAAGGGTTGGATTTGTAATCACAGGTCAGTGAAAGCCACAGGAACTTCACAAAGGGCAAGTGACCATTTCTAAGCTACCTGCACCAGTGGCAGAGACTGAGCAGCAGGACAATGTCCCAGATGCAAGGGCCAAAACACCTGGACATGTCCCTGTCATTCCCTAGCTCGAGGGTCTCTCAGGTTAACCCAATCAGGAGAGAGGCGATTGGGAGAAAACCCTCCCGCTCCACACATTTTGCGGTCCCCACACAGAAGACCACCTTTGTACATTTCGGCCTAGTAACAGAAGAGTTCCATTCTTAGCTTCTTTTGCATATCAGGAAGCTTGGGCCCCTTTGTCAGGAAGGCTTCCATTGTGCGGACAATCGCATTATTTCCCCATTAATAAAACCTGACCATTCAGCCCTCCTGGTCCCAAAGCCTGTGATTGGCTGGTTAAGCCCTGTTTGGAATGTTGTTTTACCCAGCCCCTACCCCTATTGGCTGAGCTCTGCCGTCAGTCTCTCTCCCCACCACCCCCCTCATTGTTTGCAATCTGTTGCATTTTGTTCTAGGCCATGTGGCCTGTGAGTGAACCAAGAGCCCACAAACAGGTTCAGGTTAAAAGGCACATCAGAAATGATTCAGGAGGCTTTCCTGCACCCCAGACCTTTAGTTTTCAGTGTTAATCCTCATAGCTGGGGAAAGATCTAAGGAATAAATAATTTAAGACACCATTCTCCTTTTCAGAGAGTAGTGTCTAACTCTACCCAGACAAGGAAATGTCCTTAGCAGGACAATCAGATCCTCATGTGCAAAGGGAGAAACTGAGACCCAGATCAGCCAAGTCAGGAATTGTAACATTCTCGATCTCAAACTAAGATTTCCAAACTTCCAAAACAATACTCTTTCCACTCCACCAGTCTTTGTAGAGATACATCTTTATTAGTTTCTTGATCTTAAGATTCCCATTCCAGCCATTAAACAAACCGGCCATCCCTATATAGGATCTGAACCCGCGGCCTTGGTGTTATCAGCACCGCACTCTACCGAGTGAACCACGGGCCGGCCCTCGAAAAATTTTTTTAAATCTTTCTTGTTATCCTCATTTTTCCCATCAAGTATATAACAACTTCCATACCCCGTCCCCCAGTTCCCTCTCAAAAGGTCATGTAAAAGTTATTCTTAAAAGCTACAGTGAATATTCTTTGTCCTGATTTACGTGAAGCTAGCCTCAATCTGCGTCCTACAAAAGCACCACCCTCTACACTACTTCTCATGGGTACACAGGTCTAAGGAGTTGAGATAAGAGCAACATAGTCTGGTGGCAGAGGATGCTCCAGTCTGCCCTCAGCAAGGTTTGCATTGCATCAAGGATGGGGGAGGAGGACCTGGAGCTCTATTGCCTTGATCTAGCACCTAGATCAGAGGTTGGCACAAAGTAGAGGCTAGTGAACATTTGTTGAATGCAAGAAAGCAGCTGATGCCTGCAGATGTATTGGGAAGAAGCTAGAAGGACACCTTTCCACCTTTGGCCAAACCAATAAGGCAGGTGTACCTCTTTTCAGATAAGCTACCACGAAGACCATCTAAACTTCAAGGGAGAGGTACCCAGTTGGGATGGAGGGTTGAGGAAAAGAAGCTGGCTAGATAGCAGGAAGCTGGGGCTCACATCTAGTGATTTCTTATTTCTAAGTCTCAGTTTTTCCATCTGTTAATGGGGAACATTCATTCCTCCCCTACCTGTCTCATGGGTGATGTGAGAATGCACAAGTGGTAAGGGGTGGAAGGTGCAAGGGGAGAGCATTTTTGACATTTTGAAGTAAAGCGGGCTGGAGATCTAGATTTTTGAAAGATGAAGGCTTTGGCTTTGCACAGAAGGCTCCTCAGCTTCTTTCCTCCCTAGGGGAGTGTGAGTTTCCCAGGGAAAGGCAGCAACAAAAAAATCTTCAAGCTTGGAGTGACTCTTAAGGAACCTCTTCCAGCTTCCGAGGACAGAAATCCCCTACAGTACAATTGTCCTCTCTAAGCGCCAACCCTCACTGTCTCCCTTGTCCCCTGGGGCTCCAATCATGTCTCTCTTGTCCCCTGGGGCTCCAATCATCATCAAAGGGACGCCGGCTCCCGCCACTTCTCCAAACTGTTTACCAACACACCCACGTGCCAGACAGACACTGCCGGGGGCTACACCAGCAGCTTCAGCCAGAGAAAGGGGTAGGTGGCCAAAGGGCTTGAAAAGGCCCAGTGCCTGACCTCAGACAGCGGTAGAGCTTTGGTCACCCATGAGGTGCCCCCCGCTTGGATGGCCCGGACGGTCCTTACCCGAGTCGCTTGGGCTCTCGGACCCCGAGCAGGCCTGGGTCTTGGGCTCGCCCAGCTGACAGGGGGCGGCAGGGGCCGGGTTGCCGGCTTCTAGGCTGGGAGTGCAGTCCGGGGCGGCAGGCGCCTTGGGCGGGTTCCCCCGGGGTGCGCCAGCAGCGAGCCGGTCGCTCACGGCTCTCTCCAGCCGTTCCCGGGCCGAGAAGCCGCTCCACATGCAGTCACGGCGGATGATGGAGGCGTAGTTCCTACCCCAAGCTTTCGAGTGGCCCCGAGATTCCGTCTCGTCCGCGCCGCCCCCTCCGGGCCACGGCTCCAGGGGACCAATTCCAGGGGCTGGGTCCCCGGCGCTGGGACCGGAGCCCCAGGGCGGCGACGTGGGGGGCGACGGCACCAGCTCGAATTTCTTCCAGATGTCCTCGCTGGGCGCCGTGGAGCGGTAGAAATCCTCCCCGCAGTCATAGTCATAGAAATAGTGCTGGTACGAGTCGAAGTCCATGTCCGCTCCCTGCGGAAGGGAAGCGGGGATGTGCTGACTGCGGGTGCGGGCCGGGAGAAGGAGGCGTCCCCGGGTCCCTGGGCACAGCCGGCTGCCGGGCTCTCGTCCCTCCCCAACCCCACTGGCTGGCAGCCCGCGTCCTGGGAAGCCAGGCCGTGAGTCACAGCGCCCAGGGAAGTCGCTCACGGAGCGCGGACCAGGCTGCAGGGAGCGAGTTCAAAGCAAACTTTGCCAGCGCTGCCCGGAGCGCAGCTCCCGGGCCCCGGCCGGGCCGGGCGGGGGCGCGCTGCGCCCAGAAGGCAGCCAGCAGCCAGTCCCGT